ATAGAATGTGGGATGAAAAGAATGCGAATGCAAAATTTGAGATCATACAAATATCATAACATAATTTTTAAAAAAACTTTATTGTATTATAATATAATATAACGGTGACATGAAATCACTCCCTTTTCTAAGCAAGGAAAATGGTTTGAGGGGGTTGTTGCCCTATGAAAATAAGTAAATCCTTACCTCATAACTCATCGAAAATTGCCAATTAAGAATTGAAAAACCTTTATATCGATCGTCTCGACTTGAACATTATGGTTGTGAAAAAAATTACAATTTCTAACTCTAAAAATACTAAAATAGTGTATATTGGAACAAATTATGCAGACCGTCCATTTTTCTTTAAAAATAAGTCTCCATGGATCCGTAAAATCTTTACCATTTCTTGAGTTTTAAATTTTATTGTCGGTGTTGGATATTCATTTTAGAGCGATCATAGAGAGTTCCGTCGCTAAAAGCACTTTGAGAATTGGAAGTGAGGCTTTATTTTGTTTTTATGAAGCCTAGGTCTTATAAAAACCTCATCCTTTAAACCTATTAGACGTCTTTCAAGGGCAATTAGTATCCCTCAAAATTATATTGAATTAACCATACCTTAAGCTCTCTATCAGCGTTTCCAACCGGATCTCTTACCCTATATCCCCTCTTATTGATGACTACTTGATAAATGTTTAATTAATTTATAGAGAATCTGGCCCCAATAATAATAATTAATAATAATAAACAATAGTAATAAGGGGGTGGTTAGTATAAGACTTAGGCTTTATGATAAAAGTTAAGCCATATCCCTACTTGAAAATTCAATTTTCGGCATCATTGAGTTCATGATGGCTGAAAATCTATTTCCACCCTTGACAATGACATTTGAATCTCCAAAAATACGGCAGTCCAAATAATGTACAATCCATATAATGTACTCAAGATACATTATCACTTAGACTAGAGATTCATTGTTTCTTTTATCAAATCCACAATTTTTTATTCTCCAGTAGGGCTTTAAGGAACACTTTTATTATTTGGAAAAGTATACAATGAGACCATTTATAATTGGTACATAGACGTCCAATTAACTTTGACCATTGGAAGTGAAATTGAGTGGTTGTATTTATTTCATTGATTAGGCCCAAAGTTCAAAATAAATATATTTGAACTTTGTAATATACCCAAGCCGGCAGATTTCAGATCAAATGGTTATAGGTAATTGTGACCTCTTTGTACCAAAGGTAAATAGTTACATAATATACAATCCACTATTTTTTTATACTAAAGGAACAATAGTTTATGATTGGGTGATGTATAACTACATTTGCATCCCTGAGCCATCACACGTCCATTATAATGATGGATGCATAATTGTGATCTCTCTAAAATGGAGGCAGTTGGATGGTGGTAATTGAAAGATAGTCATGGCTCAAGTTTATATGCGGGCATTTCCACATATAAACTCTTTTCCTCTAAAAAAAAAGCCAAATTAATCGTTCAAAACTTCCATATATATATATATATGTATATAAATAATTATACTATGAGACCCTCCCACACTCATGTGATAACTTTTCTAGAGTTCTGTGTCAAAATTTAATAGTGATCTTTTGTAGTCCTACTCACATAAAGGTAGGAGGGTCTCATAGTGTCATTACTCATATATATATATATATAACAATCAACCTAAGACGCAACTCAAAATTCACTAGAAGAAGTTGTTTCAATGCCAAAAAGCCCTAAAGTCCGATCATCTCGACCTTGAGATATACGAGCTTAAAAAAAAATGGACTTCAAGTATTGAAAATAATGCATCTTGTAATGCATTATCTAGACTGTCAATTATCAAGTTTTTTAAGTGTTCATAAATCTGTTTGATTTAAACTAACTTTTAAGCTTTAAATTTTATAATTAGAGAATAAAATAAATTTTAAGGCCATCGCAAAGATTTTCATACTGAAACTACATCTTTTAACGCTATTTGAGGGTGCGTGTTAGATTGTTTAAGGGCTATGCCTTATACAAGCCACACCCATATATGTGCGTGCTTGTTAGGGCTCATAAAAATTGTGCCCATATAACCTAAATCTTATTAGTTTAGTTTTCTCCCTAGAAATAATGATGATGATGTTCATAAAAGAAAAAGTAGAGAGAGAGAGATGCCTGAAACCATGCCCATCGTTGGATGATGGAAATGATAATTTGGGAAGTCCCAATTCGAATCTCTTGATAAGTAAATGAGGGGGATCCTAAAACAACAATCTATCTAACATAAGATGTATTAAACGAAATTACTTATACAAAAATAAGAGATGGATCGAAGGAAATACTTTGTCAATAATGATTACAAGGCCAAAAAGACTCGAAAGATAAGGAATCAAGTCTCAAGGTTTCATGTGCCAGGTTTTGATATATGGAGACACAGTCCACATGGTGCCTAAAAGTAGAAAAATGACATCCAAAAGAAATGAAAGAGAAAAACAGAAAACCCAAAAGAGCAAAGAAAAGGAAAAATAGAAACATAAATGAAAAATTAAAGAGCAATAAAGCCCAGGACAACTGTAAGGCACTAAGGACTTGGGTCACGTTTTCAGTGCTCCCTTCGCTCACTACACATCACACTCATACCAGTGCCTACCTCATGCTTACAAAAGCCTTTTTTATGTCCTTTGTTTTCTTCTCTTCTTTAAAATTTTAAGTTTATTCTACGTAATTTCGTTACTGAAATACCCTCAGATTTTTCTCATTTCATCGTACTGCCCTTTCCAGTTCCTACGTCATTCAAACCTCCGACGTTTAGAGATATGCATGTCCGAGTCACGCATATATTTCTACCCCTATTTTTCTACGGAATTTCTGTAATGCCTTTTGGTTGTTTTTTCTTTTTTTAAAAAAAATTGAAAATTGATCAAAATACTCAAAAAATGGGTTCGCGTTGGGCCTAGGAAGTGCCAATCTCGGTCCTATAGAGCTAGGCCCAACCCTGACCGGACCAAAGATGTCAAGGGCCAAGTCCCACCTTGACCGGACCAAAGATGTCAAGGACCAAGCCCGGCCCTAGCTAGACCAAAGATGTCAAGGCCTAGGCCCAGGCCCAGCCCTAGCCGGACCAAAGATTTCAAGGCTGAGGCCTGGCCTTGACCCTATTCAGGCCAAGAGGAGCATGGTCTAATACACTCAAAAAATATATAGGAAAAATTAAAGAAAAATCGAAGCAAGACAAGGCCGCATTTGATCTGGCTTGGCCTTCTTGTAGCCCAAAAATTAAAGAAATATCCAAGCAAGACAAGGCCGGCCTTGATCTGGCTTGGCCTTCTTGTAGCCCCGCCCCGACTCTCCACAAGCCACTGTGGATCGGCCCTCGAGCCATGTCTTGTGGCCTAGGCCCTCGTTTTTTAGGGCCATGCCGACCAGGCTAGGCTGCTTGGCCCATTGCCAGCCCTACCATAAGGGATTAAATATTTAAACTTTTTTTTTTGTGTGTTAAAATGAATTTATTAAGTAAAAGAATTATAAAAATAAATAAACTATTTAATATATTACCTAATTGTATCTATTCCAAGTCATGACGTGTGGTTTGATGGGCATTTTAAAATTAAATCGATAAAACGTTAAATGGTTTATCTTTTATTTGGATAAATTTCTCTTTATTTATTTTCCTTTTTATCTTTGGTTGAAAAATCCTAGACTTTTCAATGGATGATGGTATTTCCTGAGCTCTTGTTTTATCGGCTTTCATATTCCCAAAAACCCATGATAACCTTCACATGGGTCCATCTTTTATTAAGTGCCCCAAAGATGTTTTTTAAATGACCAAATTGCCTTGTGCAAAACCTCCAATTCCAGAGGCCAAAAAAGGTTTTATACTCCCATGGGAGTATATATTGTCCATTTACTCCCTACGGCAACAGTCTGGTTAAGAATATTCTTTGGAACCTAAATTTTGGTGATGTAATCTCGAGAACCCAACGACCAACTTCACACAAAAAAACCACTTTTTATGTGCCACAAAAAATAGGGATGAGACTATTTACCTTGTAATACAAGGAAGTTCACAGGCCAGGGGTGTGTCACGAAGTTCACGAATTTGTTTTGAACATTGAGTTTGGTCCTCCAAAACACTTTTATAGCTACTTCCCTCGAAGGGAAAGGTTTATATGCTTCTATAAACATAAAAGATATATATTTCGCCCATCATCCGGCTGTCCAATTTAGATCAAGTGAACCATTAACCATTTAATTTAGATCCGACGTCTAAGAGTATTTTATTTTTAATTTTTTTTTGCTAACTATATGAATATGAAATATGGTATGTAATATCACCTCAATGGGGCACACTTAAATAAAATATTTTAAAAATATTTTTGATAAAATGCAATGACTAAAATACCTTTAAAACTTTCAGGGGCATTTTAGATATTTTATTTTATTGGGAATATAATAGTTGTGAACTTCTTGTATCAAAAAGTAAAAGGTCAATTCTTATGGAAATGTTAGTTGAATAATGATAATTGAGCTCAATTCGTTTTTATAAAATGATCTTAGAGACGAATAAAGATAATTTGAGAATTCTAGAGACCTCTATAATAGCATTTTGGGAGTCGGACCCAATATTCAATTTGATATTGCTATACCACCAATTTGTTTTTCGTATTATGTTTATATGCAAATATTATCATCATCCGAGTCTATCAAAGGTCATACCCTACGCCCTAGCATGATCTTATAACATTGGCTAGGGATTTATAAAAATATGTGACAATGTTTTATGCTAGGTGCCCACCCTACACAATCTTCCTCCTTTCTCTAGGCTTGGGACCAGCATAACTGACTTCTCTTAGGACATGCATATATGATGCAGTAAAAAAGTGAAAGTTCCCTTAAAAGACGTTAGAGATCAGATACAATGAACCCTAGAGACTTCAATTGTAAAAAAAAGATATTCAAGAATGGAAACAATTACAGCACTTACTGAATGCTTGTAAGTTATCCTTAGTAACGTGGTATCCCATTACTTTTGGAACGCAATAACTCTCATCATCATTCATTCTTATAATTTTTACAGCTTTGATTTTTTTGTTTCTCATAAAATATACATTGTAGGTCTACAAAGGGCATTTTACTAATCAAGACAAAAATAATATCTACACATATATGCAGTCAGAGCAAAGGCTGAAGCAACAGTGTTAACACTGCCCTTCTTCCCTCCACTCTTCCTGCTTACAAAAGAATTTGGGACTCGTTTCTCTTATTCTTTCCTTTGCTTTCTCCTTGCTATATTCTTCCCCTAAGCTATAATACAACTCTGTATAAATTCATTTGAATAGTTCACATACCTGGTCCACAAGCTTCTATACTCTGGGAATCCAATCTCGAGCCATGGCTTCGCCGGCCCATTGAAATGTATAACCGCAGCATTATCAACTATTTTCTGATCGATATTTGATTGATACCCCAAACCCATCACATGCCATTGGGGATCCATCACATGCACATGTCCCTCAAATGCAAGTAGAACCGGAGGGAGTGTTCCTAGACGCCAAAGCTTCAATCCAGTCTCCAAATTCTACAAACAAAACCAAATGAAGATTAATTGTTGTTTTCCAAGAGTAACTCAGGCTTCTAGCTCATTTTGCCAAAATAATCACACAGTTTCATCATAAACAAGGTTATAAACATAAGTTATAAAGTAAAACATATAGGCCAGCTAAAATTTCCACCCATGTAATCTAGATGAGATAGCAAAAACCTAGTTTTAAATAACAAGGCCTAAAAGAAAAGGAAATCCTGCCTTTTGTTTCTATCTCACACATATCCAGATGAAATAACATTACACTAGAGAAATAGTAAAGAATATGTAGAAGGCTTACCAGCTTTAGCCAATAATGGTAAGTGCGTGTGATGTTAGTGTCCCTCCATGCCTCTAAGTCGAAGACATTTACGCCTATGACCCATGCATATCTTTCACTATTGAATTTCTCGTATACGACAGTATTCGAAAAATTCAAATAGTCTCCCAACTTTCTTGGCCTCACTTGATGATGTTCATCTCCACACATCTCAATTGCACCAACCACCTTGTCGTGTAAGTCTATTGTCCATAGTCGGGACAAGTCACGCTGAACTACAACATCCTCATCAAGGAATACAACTTTCCTAAGCTTTGGAAAAAGCTGAAACAAAACATCAACAATTATATAGAAGAAACACGCTATAAACTTGCCCATGAAGAGAAAAATAAACACATTATGAAAAGAATCCAAAACGATAGAAGAATCATCCAAATGTGTATATACATATGGCTAGGTACTATAATTTCTCGGACGAAGAAACCTATGGGAGTATTTTTTCCCCATTTATTTTTCAAATAACAATGTGCTTCATAAAAATAAGTGACACCCTTTTACTAGATCATGTAGAAGAAAAGCAAAATATTCCGTTTGAATATGGAAAGAGACAATGTTAATGAATGGGAAAACCTATCACGTATCCCTACAAGCATATAATTTTCCGGTAAGAAGAACCATGTGGGGAAGCTACTTCAAAAGAAGACTTTTTTAGGTCAAATAGGGATACAATAGAGATGGTGGGAACTTTCTAACCATCAAGGTGTTCAAAATGCTTTAAGTGCTTGTTTCTTGGGATAATCAATTTCTTGAGTCCACTATGTAACCGGAGAAATTGGAAGAATAACATTGTTCTATAGTAATTTCAATGCCCGACATCCAAATATTGGACAATCTCTTTTCATGACAAATATGCACAGGGGCTTATAAAACAAAAGAGGGATAAAAGATGAAAGCATTAAGATTAGGTCCTTTCCCACACTCGTGAACACACAAACAAACAGACAGACAAGCACCCCAAGACAATGTGATGTCCTTCTATTTCCCTCGTGACCAAACAAACAATCAATAAAATAGCATAAAAAAACGTTGGCGAAAATGTGAACTAGCATACCAACAAATAAGTTTGAACTGTAAAGCATAACAAACTGTGCAATGCTCACCTCTGGCAAGAAAATCTTGATATGATCCAAGGGAGAGGCACCAAGATGACTTCCTGCATCATAGCTATAGACTAGATCCCTGTCATGGCCGCCCCGCCCATAACTATGCCTTGCAATGTCCAGAATTTCAAGCAGTTGGGGGTCAGCCCCCAAAGGCCAGTCGAATTGGTGAAGCCCCTTGATCTCGATCACCGCAGGATAAACAGGGTTCAGGGCGAACCATGCATGCATGGGTGCACATGTCTTTTTATCGGTTATCACATGGAACACTGTGTGCTTTGGAAATAAGAAATTTTTCACAGTGGAGGAGATTACCACATATGTTGCCATCACGTTGTCACTGATTATTACAAAGTGATAGAGAGAATTGTCTGTGAGGCGGGGGGCCATGGCCGGAGGAGGGAGTGGTCTGCGTGCTAGTGCATTTGTGGAGTACTCTTCAGCGAGCCTCAGGCAGAGACAGTGTATGGACCTAGGGATGCCAATAGAAGCAAAATGCCGGTAAATTTGGCCTTGGAGCTTCTCTCTTCTTGCCTTCCGGTCCAGTTTTAACAGCTAAAAAAGAGAAAACTCATTAAGCCAAAAATTATATTAAGGAAAGAGATTCTAAGAAACTTTTTTTTTTTTGGGGATTCTATAGAATGAGACCATTTACCTTTGATACAAAGAGATCACAATTACTAAAACCATCCAATGTGAAATCTGATAGCTTGGATGTTACAAATTTCGAAAAAATTTCTTTTGAAGTTTAAGCGTGATCAATGGAATAAGCGCAATGATCTAATTCTATATACAATGGTAAAGATTAATTGTGATAGCTTTATACCAACGATAAATGATCTCATTGTATATTTTTCTTTTTGTTTTTTGAGTAACCAACCTACCTTTTTTTCTAAAGGAAAATACACTATATGATCACTAAGGAGTATACTATGCCATGCAAGTGAAGAATTATCATACACAGTGAAGAGACTAGACCAGGGATGATACAATCCACGTACATGTATGCTATGAAAAGATCATACTAGGGATGTCACAATCATCATTAACCGTTAGATTTGAAATGAAGTTTTTGATGATGTATCATTGTTTAAGCACGAAATCCAAAACAATATTTTTTAAATGTTGTGATGCACTTTTATCTATTGGATTTCACGTTTAATGGCTAAAAATAATTGTGACCTATTCGTACTAAAAGTAAATAACCCCGTAGTATACAATCCCATGAATGATTTACATAAGGGATAAAGAGAGCGTACCAAAGTTTTAACCTTGAGAACAAAAGTTTGGACATCATGTCTATTAGCGATGACTTCTTCAACGAGTTGATCAAAGGATTCAGCATTAACAAGTCGTTCATTAATTGTCTGGCCCTCTACTTGAGTAAGCACTCTTCGGAACTCATCTCGTAGGGTCTGTGCTACAATAAAAGAAAAACCTACTCTTTAGTTCGTTAAAGAAAATGGAAGTATCCATAGACCAAAGAGGAGAGAAGACAATGGATCATATGGACGGTTCAGAAGTGAAGAGCGAGCCCATGAATTTGAAGTTGGAACACGGGCCCTCTATCCACGTTAAATGTAACAAATAAGTGCTAGAACCTCAATGAGTTACGCCTGCTCAAAGCTATGAGATGATGATTTTATTTGAGAGGATTGAATGAGAAAATCGTGAGGCATATTAGGAAACGAAAATATCTTCCTACACGCCATTTTTAAGTTTTATTCCTCATCACAGCTAGGGTTTTAAAAATTTCATTACTTAACACACCTAAGGTTTAAAAATATATCGGGTCGAGATTCCACATAGTATATCTTCTAACCCCCGTGACCAATTTTATCTATTTTGATTACACTTTTTTAGCCCAAACAAAAGTAAAAAATATATCATTTTTTTATTCATTTCTAAACCCCCACTCTCTCTCTCTTTTCTAGCTTTTTTTTTTTTGTTATTTTGTGGAGTTTTATTTTGTGAATGTTAGGCCAAATGGAATCGATGAACCAATTCGACTCATATATTCAACTCGATATTTAGAAACACAAGAAGAGACGGCGAGAGTGGGGTTTTGAAAGGAATGGAAAATGACGTATTTTTTACTTTATTTGGACTAAAAATGTGTGATAAAAAGGAGAAAAGTCGATCGAGGGGGTTAAAAAACATACTATATGGTATCTTTATGCCGCCAGATATATTTTAAACCCAACCTAGAAAAAAAGTACAGGGGGATATTTTTCCTATTATAAAAAGGGTGAAGTTTGTATAAGGCCGCTCCTTATTTTGTAGAACTAAGGCGCATATCTAAAATTTGCTTAGAGTTATAGTTCTAGTATCAGAAACATTATGATGGATTGGAGTTATAGTTCTAGTGTCAGAAACATTATGATGGATTGAAAATCTGTTTTCATCCCTAGTTATGAAATTTAAAATTTAAAAAATGATACAATTTGAGAAGATAAAAAATGCTTAAAAATCTTAAAAATAGTGATCCAAATAACCGGTGGAGATAATCAATTAGAGAGTTCTTCAATTGTCCGAATACTTTTCTAAAGGATTTCGGGAGGGATCCCCTAGCTTCAAAAAGAATAAATGCTTCTCTTTTTTAGGTTGCTCACCAGTACAAATCGAACTTGAGATATAGCAATAGTAATGTAAAACATCAGTGCTAATCACTTATGCCCTAGCTCAATTCCTTACAAAAAAAAAAAAGGTAAGTCAGTTTTATTTTATTTTTCAAGACAAACTAAAAAGATTTGGAGCCTTAACCTCCCACACATCATATTGATCTTGTCTACGCTGGGCCAAAGCCCATGACAAATTTTTCTCGCTAGGAAAGCTTCTTTTTATTTAACGGAATTTCTGGCTAGAAAAACTCGTTACTTTTCATGAGGAACTATTTGTTCGTCGTTCGTCCAAAAAATTGGGGGGGGCTTTTGGTCACATGGGCATCATAGGAAACCCGTTTAGAGCAAATTATTAGTATAACGTGTTCATTTTGGTAGTTCCTTTAGAGTGGTAAATCAGGTATATAGATGGAAGCAATCTAGCAATCAAGAAGTGACACAACACATACCAGTGCACTGTCCTCACCAATCAAAAATCTCCTTCCAAGACAATCTGAGGCACATCAAAGAAAAGATCGTTCAAAACTTATTAACCAACAAGTGAGAGATGTCATAGGTAGCGTAAAGCCCCAAACTTTTGACGAAATTAAGAAAGACAGTGTGACGCCCCAAACTTTTGACAGAATCACAAAAGGTCTCCAACTTTTTGAAAGCAAGTCAAAATCATTCCTAATTATATGCATGAGTAACAAAGTTTGAGATTTTTTTTTTGAAATTTATTGTCTATTCAACGACACTCTTACAACCACTCATTTTGAAATTTAAACGTCAAAAATCTTGCAACTACCCATTTTGAAATTTAAAAAACAAGAATGATTGAGATCTCTATGCACAAAAGATAAATGGTCTCCCCATTTTGAAATTCAAGAGAGAAAAATGATTGACATCTATTTACGAACAATAAATAGTGTCTTTGTAGATAATCCTAGTAGTTGCTCTCAAAGCCAAATACTTGTAAAGTATTTATTTTAGGTAATTTAGTGGGGTAGACAGGAATGTACCCATTTTTTTAAATAGATGGGGAAGTAGAGTTTGAAAATATTAGTGGGGGTGGTGTTAGTAGTAGAAATAAAAACCACAATGACTATGGTGTGGGGGTACTACCACCACGACCCCACCCCCTTTTCAAAAAGCATGCTTTCTTAACAACGTTAAAGAGCTCATTTCCTTAGTGTTGAATATTGTACTGTTTCATCTTTTAATAGAACTCAACCAATCCTTCCATGTTCTCATCTTACTAAATGAATATCATACACACTGCATTTATTTCTTACTGTCTTTCAGTAGAACAACATTCATAATTATACTCCCAATAGAGAGAGAGATAAGAATCCAATGATCCGGACGTCTATGGCTGCATTCCAAACAAAGACTCCCCGGTTTTTGAAGCATTTTAACACATCGAGTAATTTGTCGCCCCACTTAAAAACCATAAATTAGACTCCGACGTCTAGACCCTATCTCACCCCAATAAAAAAGGGGAAAATTATGGATACCTCTCACTTTGTACTTTATAGGCTTGTTCTCCAATATTTTGGATTTTTCGCTATTAACTTCAATATTAATTTTCTTTGCAACCATGCTCTAAATAAAAATTTAATTTTTTAAGACCAAAAATACCCATCATTTTAACTCGCGTTTCTAAAACGAGATGTCCCAGTGTTGATCTAACACAAACTCACTTGTGTCAATTCAGACTTCTAAAAAAAATTTCCGTTACTAGGTCGGCTTTTTACATCAAAATTCGGCCTTTTACATCAAAACTTTACTGATAAGACACAAAAATGGGTCGGACCAGTTTATATTGAAATGGTGCTAGATCGACACAAAATGTGTCAAAACAACTTCTATATTCAAGTTAAGGCAGCCTTACCACTTGGATACGTTTTGTGCCTAATGAGACAGAGATTGAGAAATGCAGCTTCAAAACAAAAGAGGGCCTTTGAGTATTTTCGTTTTAAAAAGAAAAAGTAAATTTTTTTTTTTACTGGAAGAGGTGGACCCGGGCGTGATGTTAAAAAAAAAACAAAAAAAAAAGATAGAACCAGAAGTCCTTTTCCCAGCCGTCGCAAATAATTTCAAGCTCATTTAAGAAAAAAGAAATAGATTTGTTGGAGAAATGTACTTGGTACTTACGGATAGAGGAGCATTTATTGGCGCCTTCTAATGCAAGAAACGCGGTTCTCATAAAGACAAATGGCAATAGCACGGCCAGGACACAAACAGTGGGGAAAAGAGAACGGTAACTGAAGCGCCTTGAAGAACCCTTAACATTCTTCATGCAGCAAACACTTGTTGAAATTGTTACTCTTGATTTGTTTGGATATATGTGTAGGTGCATGTTTTTTTCCCTCTCAATTCAGGGACCTTTTCATTAATCAAGCACTTCACAAACCGAAAACCCTAGCCTGTTCAAAAAGTCAAGAAGAAAAGTAAATACATGACAAAGAACGATACCGGGAACAGCAGCAAAAAAAAAAAAAGGAAACAATATGTTGAATAGCTCAAAAAAGTTAATTCAATTGTATAAGAGAATAAATGAAGAAAAAGAAAAATAAGTTTTACTCAATATATAAATAAAGAATAAATTTTTTTTCAGACGATTTTAATATTTTTAAGATGCTTTTGTAATCTTTATATATTTTTAATTTTTTTTGAATTATTCAATATATAAATAAAAAATTTTAATAGTTGTTTTTTTCTAGATTTTTTGTTTTCATCTTCTTTAGTCTTCTAATAATCTCTATTAACCATTATCATGTTTTCTAACTTTCATCTGTTTTTTAGAGTTATTTTTTTAGGCTTGTGCAATCGGACTTGGCCAAATTACTCGCTCCCCAGTATCTTGGTCGAGGCGATTTTCGAGAATCAATTCGAGGGCCCTTTTATGCCATTTGTAAATTCCTAGAGGCGGCAGGGAATTTGGCAGCCACATACGTCGCTTCAGAAATAGAGAATCCCTATGATTCATCTGCTGTTGTTTAATAAATCAATTACTTTTAAACAGGACATTCCAGTATCTTACAGCTGGTTTACTATGTCTCTCCAAAGAGATCGACAAACCACCACTCACTGTCTAATTGTGACTTCTTGTAGAGTTGAGAAGACAAAGATTGATCTGATTGAGTAAAAAAATTTCCCAAATTCAAGTCCCATCGACAAATATTTTTTAATATGTGAAATTGTGAATTTCTATTGTTCCAAATAGGAATTCAGATTTAATCAAAGATAGTTTCAAAATCATTCAAATAAGGGAGCGAATTTCATCAATGGCGAAGGACTCAAACCTGGAATCCCTACAGAGTTTAAGAGCAAATATTTCAAATTTTCAATTTTGGTAAGAGACATCTGACAAAATCCGATGAGTGGAATCAATGTTTTATTTAAAAGTGATAATTTGATTCAGGTTTTTATCTCTAAATTCCTGCTATTTTAGTAGCTAAGGTTTTAGATTTCAGCAAGGGCGGCTTTCAGGAGGACTGAAATAAAAAATACAGACCACTTGCAGCGACGACTATTTTCTCTCTGATATAAAATATTCAAAGGATACAAACGTAAACAACTTGCATAAAGGCATCACTATTACACCGATTCTCTCTCTCAATCTCTCTCTCTCTCTCAATCTCTCTCTCTCTCTCTCGCTCTCTCTGTGTTTTCTTGGTCAAGATCATACTAATTCATAAAAAAAAAATCCCCCTCTCTCTCTTTCTCTGTGTTTTAATGGTCAAGATCATATTAATGCATAAAAAAAAATCTCCAAATCAATAGTTCAGTATCTTCAAAAACCATACAACACCGACACCAAACCATATCCCACCACATAATATCAGTAGAGAGAGACATTTCTAATCAAACTTTAATGACCATGGCCAATCAATTAACAGTTTAAATCACACTCAACCACACAACACCGACACCAAATTCACAATCCTCCTATATTTCGTCCAAACATTTGCATCAAAATCCACATTCATACTCCAAATTTATCTCATCGGATACAATATCAAACAGTTTTGAAGAACAAGCAAATGCTTCTTCAAATTTTTAAGAAAACTCGAATTTAAGCAAACAAAAAAGGATCATTACACAATTTACCTTCACAGTCCGGAGCTCATTGACTGATTTCGATCCGTAAAAACCCTAGCCCGCCTCCATTAGAGAGTGAAGAGACTCAGGTAAAGCCCCTTCTCAACCAATGCGTTTTCTGTTTCCTTCCTCTGTTTTGCTTTCAGTCATGGGCACTTAGAACAGTAGCACTTAAAGGATTAAATCTACGCATATATATAGAGAGATTGAGGTTTAAATTATTGAAGAAGACACTGGAGATCTGGTGATCTCGCCATTAGAGCCACTGCGAAAAGCTTGGCAAAACGCCGCGTTTAAAGACGCGGGGGAATGGTATTCTAACAGAGGCGAAATTATAGGAGAAAAGAAGCTGTGTATTGGCCCTTGGAGGAACATTCAATTGCTTAAATGCCCTTTCAGTCTAGTAGAAGTAGCGGGCTTCTCTCGTTCTCTGTCTAATACGGTGGGTAGCTTCCGAAGTACTCCTGAGTTCTCAGTAATTCTCCGATTTGCACCTCACTGTGTAAGAAAGTGGGCATTCTTGTTTGGCAAATTACCCGAATTTCCAATGAACTATGATCCCAAGGACCATGTTAAGCCTATAGTCCTTAAGGTCCACCCCTTCATCTTTTTAATGGCACGCCAAGGATATCACTCGGTGGTCGGTCCCTCTCTTTTACTCCCTCTGTTTTTTGTCGTTCATCTTGAAAAAGATTTTGCTTGTTCCTTCCTGCAGGAATGTTGAGAAATGGTCGTAGAGTACCCTCTCATTCGTGTGTGTAGGACTTTCAAAAGATCATCAGTAAAGTTGTATAAATCTTTAGAAAGTCAAATTTCACACCCATGAAATAATTTTTTTAGAGATCTATATCAATTTTAATGATGATCCTTTGAAGTCCTATACATATAGGTGAACGAGGGCCCTATAAAATCATTACTCCAATGTTATTTATATACTAATTTGTGCATATCCACCGTAGTCTCAGTGATTGAAGGAGGAGATGAACTATTCCTCAACCTTTATATGCATAGGAAAAGTTTTATCTCGACCGTGTGACAAGACGAATGTTTCTAGACTCGGCTACGGCATCATACTTGTCAAAAAAATAGAGGGTCTAAAGAGCCCTAATAAATTCAAAAAAATACTAAAAAGTAAACTAAAAAATTTTGAAGTGAAAGAAAACTTGAAAAAGCAATAGGAATTCAGCTTAAAAAAAATATAAAAAACATGAATTTAGAAAATTTTGACTAGAGGTTGGAGACATTTTAGAAAAATCTCAAAAAAATAGTATGAAAATAGGGCATTTGTCAATATAACTTACGTATCATTCTAAAAGATATCCAACTTATGTATATGGCTTTTATATATTCATCGTATAAATTTATATAGGCAAAGTATAACCATTTATTTTTTGTATAAGGTGGTCACAATTAATCTTGATCATTGGATGGCTACATTTATTTCATTGACCAAGCTCAAAGTTTATATATATATTATATATATATATATATATATAGTATATATAGTATATAGTATACGTATTAGACTACAACCTATATATACTTCATATGTATGGTATAAGT